AGCGTAGACCTCCGGATACATATACTCCTTCCTAGTTAGTTTGTGTATTTTGTAGTTTGAACTTTGCAGACATATTTGTTTTGTATTTAAAAACCGTATTTTGACCTTTTAAGTTTTATGTTGTGTTTTTTGAATATTGCATTGTGGTTGATTGTTTTTTATATAATGTATGTTGAATTATTTTTTTGCCGAATTGATATATATGAGTTGGTTGCACAGGTGTATATTGGACAGGTTGGTTGATTGAATAGGTTTATATTATTATTATTATTATTTTAAGCAAAAACGTATTCGCGTAATACGTTTTTGGTCAAAATTGACTTAAAAACGTATTTTCACAATACGTTTAATATTTTCAGAAAATTATAATTAACAAAAAAAATATTTTTCAAAATTCTAAAATAAATTTTAGCAGGAAAACGTATTCACAACATACGTTTTAACAAAAAACGTATTTTGCCTATATGTTTATAAAGAAAAACGTATTCTAGTAATGCGTTTTTGTTTGTGTTAATTAAGATTAATTATCTTAATTACGTTGTTTTAGGAAAACGTATTTGCAGAATACGTTCAAACAAGGAAAACGTATTCTGGTAATACGGTTTCATTGTAAAAATGTATTCTCGGAATACGTGTGTTTGATTTTTGTCTACACATTTTTTTTTATTATTTTTGTCCACTTATTTTTTTTTAAATAAATAATTATTTCATTGGGTTAAGCTGTCAATTTATTTGGAGTCTTCGATGCAGTTGATTGATGAGTGTTGAGATTTAAAGATTGCTTGATAAACTTCTATGATGGCTGTTGGAGTTGTAAAGTTTGCTTGATAAACACTGTATTTATTTTATATGAAAACATTTATGATGTAGGGAAGCGTACGAGTGGGAAGGATAAAACGAGTAAACGAGATACTTTCTCGTAAAACACGTAAAATTCAACAATATATTTTTTTCATTCAAAATCAACTCCCCAAATAACAAAGAAGAAAGAGTCTTTAAATAAGATTCCGAAAGATCTAAATCTAACTTATTCATCAAGCTACTAAATAATAATAATAATAATAATAATAATAATAATAATAATAATAATAACAATAATAATAATAATATTTATTAAAGTATCCGCATCATTCTCCTCTGGTTCGGAAAGCTTCAGCCTCGAAGTCGCACCAAACGTGTTGACACAGGAGTCGTATCCATGACAATTGTTGGCCGTTGTTTCCCCCTACCGATCACGAAGGTTGAATGTCGCCTAACTATGTCATTGGTCGTCAGAACAACAAATGTTGTTCCCCTTGCACGGGGGTAGACTTCTTAAGCATCCCAGCAAAGTGCTCAACATATATTTCTCGTTCACTCTCACCCAGTCATCCCAATAAGCCTTGGCCCATGTAAGAGACAGTTCATCCCATATGAATCTCGAGGGCATCCATCCCAGACCAGGAAAAAAATCAGAACAAGGAAGTACATAAGGATCATAAACAAACTGCCCCTGTTCGTTATCATTCCATGACGATATCGCCATAATGGATGCATCACGATCAAGGAGTCGAGCTCCAGCCTCAATATATGCAAAGAAAACGGGAGCAATGTCCATATCATCATCATCCTCTTCTTCATTCTCTTCATTT